GTGGTGTCGATTTTCACACCCAGTAACACAACACTTTTTAGGATGTGTCCAAGGACTTGGAGACAATATAATTGTTATTATTTTTCGGTGAATTTTTACACAAAATATAAATTAAAAAAAATTGACACATCATAGGTAACAGATAAACTGACTGTGACATAATTTTATGGTGGCGTCAGGCCCTGCGATCTCTCATTGCCAGTTATAAACCACATAATAACTCTTTTCCGTTTTTCTAGATGTCGCTGACAACCACAGAATTGTCAAAATTGGAAAATACCAGCACATCAAGAACACGTCCGATGTCGATAACATTGACATGAGATTGACATGTCAACATATGACAATATGCCAAAATATTCATTTGATCATAACTAATAATTCATAATGTTTTTTGTTCGCCGGTCATGCATTTCATCTTTCTTTGTGTTGTCAAATGTTCTTAAGTGATTTCAAAGTTGTTTTGTGTGTTTCAAGAAGAACTTCAAACTTTATAGATTGGAAGATCTATTTTTATCTTTGTTGATTAGATAAATGACAGGTTCAATTAAACATTAATCAGAACTTTGAATAAATATGTTAAGGATACCCTTAACCATCGATAAAGAAACTGTCTTTTGATCTAATTAACAAATTATCAATTAATTTAAGCCTCAAAGTCCAGAATAAACGAATTTGAACAGACCGACAGTAATGCGAACAAGGCGCCATCTATCATAAAAAGTCCTTTGTAAAGTAGGTGTCTGGTGTCTGTAGCATCGATGCAAAACCAGTAAATAGTGATTTTCCGATATGGTAGATGGCGCTGGCTTGGCTCAATTTTGTTGACAACAAAAAAAGCAGTTATTAAAAAAAAGTATAAACCTTACATTACTGACACTATTAGGCAAATTATTAAATTAAAGAAAACAGCATTCAATAAATTTAAAAAAACTGGTCAAATTGAACACAAGCACTTTTATCTGGACATTAAAAACTATCTTTCTTTTGCAATTAGAAGTGAAAAGAAAGCATACATGGCATTTGAACTTCATAAACATAAAAAAGATACAAAGAAAATTTGGAATAGGATCAATGATTGGAATATCAAGGTTAATAAAAACAGTGAAATACCTATTCATTTGAAAGATGTGGACCAAATCAGTAACTCTTTTGCGAGTGTATGTCAATTAGCTATTCCGATAGACAATTTACTAATGAATTTTTATCAGGGCAATAGGCTGGAGAGCCTTAACAATGGTGAGCTTATTTTTAAAAATATTTCAGAATATGATATTTATAAGGCATTTAAAAGAATTAAATCTAAAAGTATGGGTATAGTCGGTATAGACCAAATAAGTTACAATCTTATTCTTTTTAGCATTGATTGTATTGCTCCGTTTCTAGCTAAGCTATTCAATATATCCTTACAAACGGGGGAATTTCCAAAAATGTGGAAGAGCGCCATTGTTAAGCCTTTGCCAAAGAAAAATAAAATTGAAAATTTTTCTGAACTAAGGCCAATCTGTCTCTTACCAATATTTGCCAAAATGTTCGAAGTAGTAGTGTCTGATATGCTGCTTGAATTTGTAAGTACCAATAATATTATACCAGCTGTGCAGTCTGGCTTTAGGAAAAATCATGGAACTGCTACCGTCCTTACAAAAGTGTCTTCTGAAGTATCAACTAATATTGACTCATCAAGGGTTTCTTGTCTAGCACTGCTAGACTATAGTAAGGCTTTCGATCTTATACATCACGACATGCTTGTGGCTAAAATGAGGTTCTATGGTTTTTCAGAGGCTGTCTGCAAATGGTTCAAGAACTACCTTCTACTTAGAACACAGGTGGTTGAGCTTGATGGAGCAAGATCTGAGCCTGTTACAACTGGTTATGGAGTCCCTCAGGGAAGTGTACTTGGGCCATTATTATTTAGCATTTATACTAGCGATCTTCCAAAGCAGGTTCGGTTTTGCTCCATCAATCTCTATGCCGATGACACGCAGCTCCTGTTAGGTTTTGCTCCTCAGGATGCCTGTGTGTGTATGCAGAGAATAAATGACGACTTAGACTCGATATTTATATGGTCAAGTCAACATGGGTTGGTTCTAAATGCTAGTAAGAGCACATATATGATTATGGACTCTAATGCCGTCAGAAGTCAATTTTTGCGTTTTAATTTCACTACACTGCACATAAACGGTACTACTCTACCTAACTCAGAATCAGCAAGAAATCTGGGTGTGACTTTCGACGAAAGTCTTAACTTTCAGGTGCACGTCAACAAAAAATTGTCATGTGTTTATGCTGTACTTAAGAGTTTGTACCTGTTTAAGGATAATTTACCTCGCAACATTAAATTGATGTTAGTGGAGACTCTTATTTGGTCACAGTTGGACTATTGCAATGTTGTCTTCTATAACTACCTGAATGTTGAATTTAAAAACAAAATTCAGTTAGCTCAAAATGCTTGTATGAGATTTATTTTTAGCATTAGAAAATTTGACCATATTACGCCAACCTATGTAGAGAATAAGATACTAAAATATGAACAGCGAGCAGCCTTGCACTTTGGTCAATTCGTTTATAAAAATTTTCAATCTGGTTACCCATCCTATCTCTCAGAATATCTTATAGTAAGACAAGACCAGACCTACACAGTCGCTGTCTGAGAAACATTATACGATTTCAAATACCACGACACATAACCGAAGGTTTTAAAAACTCATTTTCTTACCGAGCGGTACAACTACTTAATACAGAGGTGTATGAATTTATGATTTCAGGTTCACTGGTAAACTTTAAAAAAAAGTACAAGGCTTCTCTGCTGGAATTAATACCGTAGCTTAGAATAGGCATTGAATTCTGTATTTATTTATTTATTTATTTTTTCGGGTAGCATGGAAGAACACATTACGTGAATGTTACCTTTTATGTAATTTCTTTTGATGCATAATAAACGTTATTATTATTATTATTTACACTGAGATTCCATTCTCGACAGTTTATATAGTATTTATCTCTGGGTGGCGTTCATTCCGCACCTGCAGTTGTGTTTCACTCCAGCGTCCCCAAGCGGATGCGATCCGAAGCTTTTTTTTTTAGGCCCCGCCCTCCATTAAGCTTTTTTTTCTATCCGCGAGGATATGTGTTCTGTGACTGTAAGCCCCTCTTCAAAAAAGAGAGGATTTTGACATTGTCTGGATTGTTCATATTGGAAACTGTGAGCTTAATTTTTGAAAAATATAAAAATGTCACTCATACTCATTTTCATCAAACCCGAACTTCTTCCTATTTCTAGTTCCAGCCTTACACAAAACTCAGCTATTTATAGAAGTGTAAAAATCTATAACAAGCCACCAGAATTTAAATCTGTTGATAATTTTTAAAAATTTAGAAGAAAAGTAAGGGATTGGTTGACTGATAGGGCTTACTACTACTCTATAAATGAATATCTCTATGATCATGAATAATTTAAAATTTTACTGTCTGCCAAAAAGACACAAACTTATTGTTCCTTGAGTCTGGTTTGCGTCTTAAATTTTATTTATTTTTATTTATTTTGAGTTTTATTTATTTTTTTATTTATAAGCTATTTCAGAATAAATTTTATGTTTTTATTACGCAAAATCAATATTTTTCAAAAATTTTGTTGTGGTGAATTTATTTTTCCAATTTTGCTCAAACCAAGACTGATATTATTTTCCCCAGAGGCAAAGCTTCGGATTCGCCATTTAAAATACAAGGTAGCGGGTATTGATATACATGGAGAAAGTGAGAGATGTGTGTCTCTCAGAAATGAGCGACGAAGCCCCCGGTGAAATGTTGATGTCTTGCATATATGAGTGACGCGGCAAGCAATGTGTTAATGTTATGCTATTTTTATTTTAAAACTTTAGTTTTAGGAATTGCTGGCTTTGTCAATGAATTTATTTTTTTACGACAATAAAGCATTTTGATTTGATTTGATTTGATTAGTATTGTATTCAATTTCACTGGCACATACAGATGTTAAGTCATCTAGGTGCCTTTTCTCAACAAATTTGTCTACGAGTATTATTGTATTAATTATTCATCTATTACCTGTTTTTTTTTTTTTTGTAAGTGTGTAACACTGTTTACCTACGAGCGTGCGGTAAAGTGCACTTTACCGCACGTATTTGGAAATGGAAAGTATCACTTTACCGCACACTATGCGGTAAAGTTAACTTTACAGCATAGTGTGCGGTAAAGTTAACTTTACAGCATAGTATGCGGTAAAGTGAACTACAAAGTGTGCGGTAAAGTTCACTTTACCGCATAGTGTGCGGTAAAGTAGAATTTGATATTTATAATCAAAATTCCTTTCTTTTTCAGAAAATGGATTTTTGATCATTTCTAAACTTAATCTTATTTCATTAATTAATCTTATTCATTAATTAATTTTATAAATGCCTTTTTTTGGAGATGTAGATGCTCATAGGTAAAATTTTGTACCTAACACATGCGGAAAGTGATACTTTACCGCCCTTAACGGCTTGACCGAACTCCGCTTCGCGTCGTTCGGTCAACTGCCGTTGCGTGCGGTAAAGTATCACTTTCCGCATTTGTTAGGTAAATAACTATTACCCTTATTATAGGATTTTTACGCTATATTTAGGAGGACGTCACATTTAGTAAATGTCTGTTGCCAACCTAACAAAATTAAAAGTACCTTTCAACGCATTTGAGTTTGGTAATTTCAGATGTTTTTGGTTGGCAATGGCGCGCGTCGTGCATGACTTGTAAAAACATTTTCACTTCGTTATTTTTAGCTGTTGTCAGAATTATTGACACATAACATTCTGGTAAATTAGGTATAAGAAAAAAAATATGCATTGACAACATTGTCTGTCCTTGTTCGATGACGTCATCCTAAATATAACATAAAAACCCAATATAAACTCCATTTTTGTAATACTTTTTGGATAAATAAATGCAAACAACAAAGCTTATTTAAAATTGAAACCTTTGGCCAACAAAAATAATACTTAAGTTCTTACCATTAACGACATTAAAAATTTCAGTCGCAGATCGAATTTTCATAATAAGAACTAGAGCGGGAAGTCTATCTACTGGTATATTTCGTAAACTGAATGGAGCAGCTGGACCCACGCAATTTGCCAAAGCTGCATGGAATTTTTGCCGATTGCTTTCAAAAGTAATGTCCCAGCCCCAGAGAATGAAATTTTTTTCTATGATTTGCATTATGCTCTCAAAACCTAGCAGTTGCGTACAAAAAACGTTAGTAAGGACACTGGCGTCATGGTGTAAGTATAAGGCTAGGATTTTTCTCTGAAAATTAAAATTAAAGAATTAATTTTTTTGTTAAACTATGCCTAAATATACTCACATCTTTGGCAGGTTTATTGCAAGCTTCCTTGAGAGCATCTTCTAGAGTACCTTGAAAAAACATGGGATGAATCGGCCCATATCTAGTAGTAAATCTTTCATTGAACGTTACAGTGCCAACAAGTTCGTCTTCGACGTTTTCCGGAATTAAAGGCTCCTGTTTTCTGGCTGAATTATCATTATCCACAAAATATTCATCATCAACATTGAAACTATCAGCTGCATCCTCAAATTCATCATCGTCACTCTCCACTTGCACGATTTCTGGCATAGAACGTTTTTCTTTTTCTTTTATCTGTAGGTTTTTACGCACCGTTACTTCGTGTTCAGGGTATGTGATACCAGACAATGCCAGCATTGTATTGTCATCTATATTTGGCGGCCAGCCGCTCCAGATCTGATGTCTAGCAGGTATACTGGTTAAAGTATACACATCCGTTTTCACTTGCAGAATTGTTTTGATTCCTTGATATTTTAAATCGTAAATTTTGTTGTCGTATTTTACGTGTAGTGTATAGGTGCCGTTAAGTTTTTGAGTGACTTCACTTCTGAAAAAAAAACGTTTTTTTTTTTTTTTTTTTTGTATTCCTTTGAAAGTCAAATCACTTACTCTTCATCCGCTGTCATGCCATCAGGATGTGGTTTGACTGTAAGAACTAAATCATTTTCTGTGGGCAACATCAACTGTGAGAAAGGAGTTTTTTCGTAATTTTGCATTCTAGCCCAACTCGACAGGGACTGCCTGCAAGCTGCTACACTGACGGCTGTTTGTATTCTCAGCTTCAAATCATCTATAAAGTTAATTGAGTTAGACAATTTGTATAATTGGGGCCAGCTTCTTTACCAACACTTAAAGTTCTGCTGTTTCTAATTTATTGTTTAGAGATTTTTTTTAATGTCAGTTCTGTCAAGAGGCTCAAAACCAGCCTCCATCCATTTCAATAATGAACTATAAAAAAAAGATACTGTGTCCGAAAAGGTCCTGGCAGTATAAAGGTGGCTTTTCATATATACTCTACATCGATTCTTGGTAATAAAGAGAAAGATAGAACAAGAGTTTTAATTGGAGACAGAGCGAGAAATGTTGGACAATGCAGAAATAGGGAGAGTTTGGATTACAAATAATTTAAAGGCATACATTCAAGATAAAGTGGTTTGTCCATAGTACGAAGTTAAAGAACAGATATATGGAAACAATAGATTTTTAAAACGTTTACCTGTTTTTTTGAGTTATTTAGTTTAAATTGTCTCTTTAAAGAAAGCGGGATGTAGTAGTGTTACTTATTACATGAGGTATAGAAGTGAGCACATGGTATGTGCCAAGACATGGTGGAAATGTTTCTCGTTCAATAAAAATATTACCTACCACCTTCAAACAGTTAAACACCATAATACATTTTTTTATCTATTTTGTGTTCTAGCTATATTAAATAATAATAATTGGATGCATCGACATACAATACAAACCATCATTTAGAAAAGATTGGTTAAACTGTCTCACTAATTTTTTTGCTTATTTTTGTTTTTTAGTACCTACATTGGGACCTTTCCAGTTACATAAAAGGTATGGAATTCACTGGAGATAATAACATCTAAGCTTGAATTGATATTAAAATAGTTCTAACTAATATAAATTCCTTACTTAAACTAGCTGTGTCTGGAAGTCTAAATTTCAATTCCCTATCGCAATACTTTATATTGAAATTCAATAGTTTCGGACCAGTGGATGCTCCTGAAGGCCCAGTAGATGCTCCCGAAGGTCCGCTAGACGCCCCTGAAGGTCCACTAGACGTTGAAGCTGTGGCAAAGTTGTCTTGCGAATTTAATGATGAGAATTCACGTTTTTTCGCTGGAGGATGGCCGATGTTGTTGCTTGATGAATCCTTGGCGCCCTCCGCTGACGTCGCTTTGAAATTCGGTGTGGGTATATCAGAATCGTTTTCAACTATCATGACGTCGGGGTCTTGGCGGGCATGGAATGATTGGGTATCTGGCGGCATAATTCTGCTCACGGCCCTCTGAAAAAAACAAATTTCGGTTTAGTTATTTATTTATTTATTCATTCATGGAGCCATTTTTCCATCAAAATTTGATGATATAATAATTATACAAAGTATAGTGAAAAAAAGAGTAAACAACAGAAGAAAGGAAATTCAAAATAAACTTGACTCGACGAAATTTAACAATAAGGTTATATAAATTGAAGGCCTCTAAATACGAGATGCCCGAATCAGAACAGAGAGCTGGTGATATAATAAATGAACAGCATTATCGATTGAACGAATCGAAAAATCAGTTTGCTAACTTAGAAAACCGAAATAGTATTATGATGGTAAAAATAATGGAGAAATGGTGCCTTCGTGCCTTCCATGAGAATTTTTTTTTTATTTAATTTTTTATTTATTTATTTCAACGGATATACCATTTACATTTGAAAAATTAAAGTTTTTACAATAATTTTATATAAATCTATATCATAGGCATCAACTCAACAACAACTGTTTTAGTTTTATTTTAACAACAAACTAGAAATAATCAAATTCTATTTTTTAGGAACTCATTTACTATTCTTATTCATTCACGAAAATCACCATGCCGTACCGTTCCGATGGTTCCAAGTAGCCGCCATACCTCCCCAAAGACATAGATTTCTTCGATAATGTTGTAACAGTATTTGCTTTTTCGGAAGGTAATGATACAATGTGACCGTTCATATATTTGCCATACTTATAATCAAGTGCAAAAATGATGCCATACTTGAAAACTAGTTTTCTGAAACGTCTTCCAGCTACAAATGATACAAGGTCTAGAATTATTTATTACAGTATGGCATTATTGTATTCAATTTATTTCTATATGAATCTACCTGAAAACAATAATCCCATACTGATACCACGGAGCTGGACTGTCACACTTATGCTAAGATGAGATAAAAACGTAATAATGAAACGAAATGTAACAGTATGACATTTCAATTTTTTAAAAGATTATAAGGTAATATGCTTCGGAAAAATTATGCCATACTTCTTGTGTAGTCTGAAAGTGGTGCCATACTTGAAAAACTAGTTTATTTACAACCACATACGTAATGTTGACATTTCTGACTTTTCAAAAGTTTGAAAGTGACACTTTTTTGAATTTTACTTTCCACCCGGGTGGAAAGTAAGTTCTCATTTTTTAAAATGTTTTAGACGAGTCCTGCATGTCAAACGTTTTTTTAGATGAGTCAGAACTTGTCAACAAATTTTTAATTTTTTTTTTTAGTATTTAGTCGAAATTATGAGGGTTGTAATTGTTGTAAATAAAATAGTATACAAACCTCGGTAGGAAGGAAACACTTTCCACCTCGGTATGTAATATACTATTTCTGAAACGTTTTCCAGCTCGACAACTGGTACAAGATCTAGAATCATTTATTAGAGTATGACATCATTGTATTCAGTTTGCATCTATACTGGAAATAATTATCTCATAGATAAATGGAAATAATCATCATTATCTAGACGAAATACCAACAAGTATTATGAAATATTCTGCTTATGAAATAAGGGATGTACTATGTTTCCTAATTAATAGTTCCTTTAAAAATGGCAGTTTTCCTACTAATCTTAAAGTAGCTTTAATAAAACCTTTGTATAAAAAAGGGGATCCCCAAAACTTGGACAGTTATAGACCTATTAGTATTTTACCAGGATTTTCCAAAATATTTGAATTGGCTATGTGTAACAGAATCGTACAATTTATGAATGTCTGTCACTTATTCAGTAAAAATCAACACGGTTTTTTGAAGGGAAAATCAACGCAAACGGCCATTTATCAGTTTGTTCAAACAGTCTTAAGTAGTTTCGAAAAAGGTGAGGCCACACTTGGAATGTTTCTTGATTTATCTAAGGCCTATGACTGTCTAGATAGGGTATTACTTGTTAAGAAGTTGGAGATGTATGGGATAAGAGGACATGCACTAAACTGGTTAATATCTTATTTGAATGAAAGAACTCAAACTGTAGAAATAAACAAAAATGGCGATATGGGTAAATCCAAATTGTTAATTAACAATAATGGAATTGCTCAAGGTAGTATTCTGGGACCCATACTTTTTGTCATATTTATAAACGACATCGCCTCTCTAACCAATTTATCCCATCAGTCCATAATTACCTACGCTGATGACACAAACTTACTAACAAGTAGTGAAACTATGTTGAACTTGTTAATTGATAGTAGAGAATTTCTTACAACAGCAACCAAGTGGTTCACTGAAAACAAATTGATCCTTAACCCAGATAAAACTAATATTGTACTCTTCAAAACTAAACTATCAAGATTGGAAGATGTTAATTATTTGGAAACTACAGAAAGCCTTAAACTACCAATAACAGAAAACACAAAGTTCTTGGGTGTGTACATAAATGAAAATCTAGATTGGTCACATCACATAAGTCAGCTAACTAAAAAATTGAGTTCCGTCTGCTATGGAATACGAATAATCCAAAAATACATGAACGAGAAAACTTTAAAAATAATCTACTCAGCTAACTTTGAGTCTATTCTAAAATACGGAATAATATTCTGGGGCGAGATTGCCACATTCAGAGTACTTTTGTAGCTCAGAAGAGAGTTGTAAGAATCATAAAAAAAATGGATTTTAGCAAATCGTGTCGAGGGGTGTTTAGGAAAATGGGAATTTTTACTGTCTATGCTTTGTATATTTATGAATGTGTTATGTTTGTTTGTAGAAATAAAAGTCTCTTTGAAGCTCCTAATAGTCATCATCACCATACAAGAGCAGAGATTCTTAGCTATCCCACGCATCGTCTCCAGCTCACGAAAAAAGGTCCCCATTATATGTGTGTTAAACTGTACAACAAATTACCTCTAGCAATAAGACGATCAGAAACTCAACGAACTTTTAAGAGAGACTTAAAAAAACTGTTAATTCAATTAGAACCCTATTGTCTGGATGATTATATTAATTCGAGCGGGCAGTGAGAACAATGTAGGTATTTTCCTATGACGTAATTTCACTTTGTTATGTTTGTAACTAGTTTGAAATAAAGATTATTATTATTATTATTATTATTATTTCAAGGCTATTCTCGCACTCATTTGTTCGTCCACTCGCTCCTTCGTCGCTCATGGCCAATTCCGAATTCGTGCCTTCTGCAACTTGTATTTTAATACAGGGTGTCCCACGGTGGATGGCGTATTAGACGTTTATGGAGAACTAAAAAGCGGATCATTTTGAAAATTTGGCAACCGGGATAAATGACCATAATCTACACTTTAAAAATATTTTTTCGTTTATGCGATGTTGCCGCTTCTACCCTAAACCAGTGGCAACAACGCTATTTTAAATGGAATACCCTGTATGTGATTACATATTTTGATTCTACGTAAAATTCTGAGCAGATTTCGTGTGATATACCCTATACCTAAGTTCAACTGTTTTGGAATTATTGACAGTTGAAAATTGACTTTTTGCAACTTTGACAGGCTGTAAAACCTGAAAGGTTAATTTAAGAGAAAAACCAATTTCACATTCCTATCTTACATTTTCATGAACTATCATTTGACACCAACTTTGAATTTACCCGGAGATTAAATTTAATTGGAATTTTTAATCATGGATTAAATTTGAAGTTGGTATCAAATGATAGTTTATAAAAATCTAAGATAGGAATGTGAAATCGGTTTTTTTTTCTAAAATTAACCGTTCAGGTTTTACAGCCTGTCAAAGTTGCAAAAAATCGATTTTCAACTGTCAATAATTCCAAAACAGTTGAACTTAGGTATAGGGTATATCACATGAAATCTGCTCAGAATTTTACGTAAAATCCAAATATGTAATCAAATACAGGGTGTTCCATTTAAAATAGCGCTGTTGCCACTGGTTTAGGGTAGAAGCGGCAACATCGCATAAACAAAAATATTTTTAAAGTGTAGATTATGGTTGTTTATCCCGGTTGCCAAATTTTCAAAATGATCCGCTTTTTAGTTCTCCATAAACGTCTAAAACGCCATCCACCGTGGGACACCGTGTATACTATTTCTAACTGTTTCTGACTGTTTTCAACCAATTCGCTCTGACTGGTTTGTGATTTCTGCAGAAACAGACCTATTGTGAACTCTTGGTGGTGCCATACTTGAAGAACTGCTTTTCTGGAACGTTTTTGAGCTACAACTGATACAAGATGTGAAATTATTTATTACGGTATGGTAACATTGTATCCAGTGGAGGTTTTCTTGGGAGTCAGTCAGGTTGAAAAATGAAACAATTTTTTTTTTGTTTCGGAATTTTCATTTAATTCCATCCTCAGAAATAGCAAAGTCAAAATTGTAAAAGCTAAAAATATATACCGGGTGTTTTTCAAAACCCGCTCACCCCTATAACTTTTTTATTTTTCTAAATAAACAAATGAAATTTGGTGTGTTTATTTATGACCCGGATGTGCATTATTTGACGTATTCAATTATTTATTATCACTTCCGGTTTGACCGGAAGTGACCGTAAATTTCTTATTTTAAATGAGACGCCAGGTATACTTTCACTTATTTCAATAGAAAACTACTTTACGAGTACAATGACACCTCACTTGTCACTTTTTGACATTTCATCTCCAAATTATTTAAATTTTTACTTTTCAATCTAGAGCGCCATGAATTAGTTGTAATGCTTAATTTTGCTCCAAGGAACCTGGGAAAATTTGTTTTGATCTTTTTTCGTATTTTATATCTTCAACAGAGTCATCTAAAGATAGTAGAAGCACATTTTTGGAATTATATCAATTTTTTCAAATGGAAAGAGTATGGCTCATTAGCATATTCCGAGAGAGCATTTTCTAACGAACAATTTAGTACCACACAATCGCTAGTTTATTCAAATAATGAACTAAAATTTTCCAAAAATATTTAGAATGCTAGTAAAATTCTTCATTTGAGTGATGAACTAAGTAGTGATTGTGTGGTACTGAATTGCTCGTTAGAAAACGCTCTTTTGGAATATTCTAATGAGCCATAC